GAAGAGCACCAAATTGGATTTGAATCCTAGCTTTGCTTTCCAATGACCTTGAGCATGTGAAAGTCAAGCAAGGAATTACATATAAAGAACTATCTGGTCATATAGAGATCTACCTCTAAATCTCTAAAATCTGTAATTCTATGACTATTTTAGAAGCATATGTAACATAATTTCTAAGACATCCTCCAAAGAAATCAACAATGTACTTGATATTTGTGTGTCAATATTTATTTCAAAATCAAAATAGCAATGTCCCCCTTTATTGAGGCAATGAAACTAGTCAGATCAGAATTTGAAAGCTTTATCCTTCATCCAGCTGTTAAATAAAATTTCTGAGTAGCAGATCCCTCAATGTGAAAACAAGGGGATAATGTCTTTCCTCTATGATTTTTGTGCGAATTAAACAAGGTAATGTATGTGCAAATGCCTAGCATGAGATCTGACACATAGGGGTCAGAAAATAAATGATAGCAATTCTTACTATTATTGACACAAAGCGTTGCTCTTTTTGAAGCTCATTTATATACATTATTTCATGCTAACAGATTAAGCCCAATTCTGCCAAGAAATTTCATGTAAAAATATATCCCAGGGTCAGTGACATTATAAAAATTCCCATCCTGAAATGAATTTTATCTTGTAACAATAAACTTTTTCAATCTACTTTTCATTCATTCAAATATCTCCTTGACCCAATAGCCTTGTAGCAAGTCTGTCATATTTTATTTATGCAGTCATTAATATGGCAAATATTTATCAAGTAGCAACTATGTACCTGGATCTTATTTTATCAGATGCTAGTTTCTTATATTGAGAAAGGACCGGGCAAAAATTAAAAGATTGCTATTGAATAGCAATGTACATAGTGGTGAGCTTATTAAAAAAAATGGGAAGGGGCTTAAGTAATTAATTTTTGAGATGAATTTATTAATGTTCATTAACTGTAATAATAGTACATTTCCACAGTGCAGTAAGGTTGACAAGGGTCTTTTTCTAAAACATGTCCTGGGCCCACCCATTTTGCTCAAACCTAATAAAATCACCAACATTCAAGCCATCTTTATTCCTAGCCAAGACTCTTAATAACAGACCCCTAACTGGTCCCTGTTTTTGCTCTTTGTATCCTAATAGCCATTTTCTACTAGTAGTTAAATTATTCTTTAAAGTGAAAATCAGATCAGTTTGCTTCCTGGTTCCAATGTCTTCCCCATACATCCTCCCAACACTGTATTGAAGAGCTGCTCCCTGCCCTCGTCAACTATGCTCAAGCCACAGCAAACTTTGGCCATTGCTGGACCAGGTGGATCTGGTTCTTGCTTCAGGAACTTCACGCTTACTCTTTATTGTGTCTGAAAGATGCTTTCGTCTCATCTTCTTTTTTTCTTTTTTTTAAAACAAATTTATTTATTTATTTTTGGCTGCACTGGTCTTCGTTGCTGCATGAGGGCTTTCTCTAGTTGCAGCGAGCAGGGGCTACTCTTCATTGCCGTGCGCGGGCTTCTCACTGCGATGGCTTCTCGTTGCAGAGCGCAGGCTCTAGGCTCACGGGCTTCAGCAGTTGCAGCTCACGGGATCAGTAGTCGTGGCTTGCGGGTTCTAGAGCGCAGGCTCAATAGTTGTGGCACACGGGCTTAGCTCCTCCATGGTATGTGGGATCTTCCCGGACCGCGGCTCAAACCCGTGTCCCCGGCATTAGCAGGTGGATTCTTAACCACTGCACCACCAGGGAAGTCCCTCCTCTTATCTTGAACCTGTTTCCTTTTCATTAATTGGATCTAACCCTTCCTGAGCACTCACTCAGAAACTGCACTCTCTAGTATAGCTATCACACTATAGTGTCACTGTTTTTGTTTTTGTTTTCCCCAGCTCTTTATCATTATTTACAGAAATGTTGTCTATTTGAGTATTCATGTAGAATCTAACTTTTCCACCAGAATGTAAGCTCATGAAAGAAGAGATCATGTTTTCTCATTGACATAGCCCTGTTACACAAGGAAACCAGCCACAGCGAGGCTATTTTACTTAAGCAAGTAAAGAGTATTATAAGTAGTACCTAGGATGACTATCAGCTTTTGTGTTTTATTACAATTCATGGATGGAGAATTTGCACATATAAAACACTCTGACCAGGGCTTCCCTGGTGGCGCAGTGGTTGGGAGTCCGCCTGCCGATGCAGGGGACACAGGTTCGTGCCCTGGTCTGGGAAGATCCCACATGCCGTGGAGTGGCTGGGCCCATGAGCCATGGCCGCTGAGCCTGCGCATCCAGAGCCTGTGCTCTGCAATGGGAGAAACTCTGCCCCTTGTCTCAAAAAGTCTGAATCTAGGTCTTAAAACAAGATATTATCTCATCAATAGTAATACTCTAGGAGTTATTCTGCAAGACAACAATAATACTTTTATGTAATAAGACTGAATATGTATGTGTGCCAAAATAATCAGAAACAGTAAGTGCTCTGATTTTGCATAGATAGTTTAAACAAACATGTTACAAGAAGAGTTGTTTTTTCTTACTTTTTACGGTAGATACTATCTGTTGTTCTTTGAGCTCATGTTGCTTGACTCTGTGATTATTTGATTTTTTTCTGTTTGTTTAACTAAATGTCATACCCAGGCTTTCCTAAAGTTGCTATATTTCATGTATTTATTTTGTAAATTAAAGTTATTTCAAATCAACTCTCTCTTGACCATTTTAAAAAATGTTCTAAAACTTCTTGAAATAAATGGAGATACAACACTAGTATTTCAAAATCTGCACTGTGGTCAAGGGAGCAGGGCATCTCAAGTGGCTATCTATCTGGGAAAATCTTCACTTTTAGGGAAACTCAAGGAAAATAGTTTAGATGGCCTGTTATCATATTTTTTCATAGGATTGCAGTTTATAATTAAAAATTATTGTGAAGATTCAATTAATCCTAAAATGTATTTAAAACTTTTTCATAAATTCTATCTACAACTCCTTTCCTTCTTCCATCTCCTCTACGCAAACAAAACCATCAAATCACCCTCTAATGGGCTCAGTCCCTGTTTTAAAAATATGTTGAGAGGGCTTACATCCTCAAGAAGACGATCTGAATGAAAAAATCTGGACAGCTCTCTTCCTGATATATATCTAATCTACAGCTAGATCTAGATAGATAGATAGATACCTTCTTACAGTAATTGTTCTTCTTGTGGACCTCTAATCTGTCTTTCACATCCTGGTTCCATTTGAGCCTACAAATTTTACCTCCCAAAAAAATGTTACCCTTGTTTAGCAAGATAAAGAATGTAACATATCATATAGAAGGTGACAATTACTGCTGTTTCCAAAGTGATATACAATGTATGGAATTTTTTTTCCCCATAAAAGAACAAACAGTAAATATTTTAGGTTTTACAGGCCATTATCTGTCTCACCTACACAGCTGTGGCATTGTAATGTGAAAGTAGCCATAGATAATGCACAAAAAAAATGGGGTTAGCTGTATTCCACATACTCCATAATGAAATTATTTCAAATATGTCTCATGAATTTCATAGCATCTAGAAATAGAAAAACAACTTGTCTTGAAAATAGAATGATGACACTGGAAGAAATTTAGACCTTATCAGATAGTTTTATCTCTATGAACTCCCTATATTTGTCATTTACTGACAGAATAGAGAATAAAACTAAAGACAATTAATTTGAATAAAATAACTTGTAAGTATGTTTTAGTAGAGGCTTCTAAAATTTTGAACCTAAATAAATATATATCCAAAAACATCTATCAAATATATACACTCATTCCCCTGCTCCATTCCCCTCTGGCAATCACCTGTTTGCTCTCTGTATCTGTGAGTCTGCTTCTGTTAAGTTTGTTCATTTATTTTGTGTTTTAGATTTCACATTTAAGTGAAATCATACAGTATTTGTCTTTGTCTAACTTATTTCACTTAGCATAATACCCTTTATGTTCATTCATGCTGTTGCAAATGACAAGACTTCATTCTTTTTAGTGGCTAATATCCCATTGTGTGTATATTATATACCCAATATTCTAGTCAGTCTTTTCCATTAATTATTTTATTTAATCGTTACAACTACCTTCTGTGGAAGATGCTATTGTCTCATTTTTCATGTCCAGAGTGACAGAGCTAGTAAGTTTTTCAGTCATATGACTCCACAACTAATCGATTGCAGCCTAGGAATAAGACACATATAAGGTTGTACTCATTGTCAAATCAAATTGCATAAATATTTTTGTAACTAAAAAAGGCAGGAAGAGAATATTGGATGTGATCAGACCAAAATTTAAGTTAAATTA